CCAGTTTGAATTTAAGCTCGAAGAAAAACTGCTCGATTTGAGTTAGATTATAGATCATCATAGTTTTATATTCGCAACAAACCAGTTGAAGAAATGAGAAATGGTTGTTAAACTAAATGGAATTTTTTAAGTGACGATAAAGGAGTTTTACGCATTCTCAAGACTTAACGTGGCTCGATTCAGTTTTTCAGGGTCAATACCTCTTAAGTTTGAGCGTAAACTACGTCGCCATAAACAAAGATTTGGAAAAATTGACATCACAGTTGTATTAGATAAAGACAATGGGGTTGCAGGGTTGCAATGACATCGGAGTTGTCATAGCAACGAAATGACGCCATTACCTATTTTACTTCCAGCATCATTTCTCGGCACTGGGAACTGTTCTTCCAAAATCGTTTACTGGAGCTTATTCCGGGGTATTGTCTCAAAGTTTCATTTTCACGTGAACAGCAGTAAGTAACAATGCATTTGACATATGCAAAAATGCTAGCTATTGTTCTGCACGAAAATATGAACTTGGAGACAATACCCCTGAATAATGAGAGACTCACTTGTAAACACAAAATTTCTGACAAAATATTAGCGAATTGTAGCCCTTATTTTACTACCTTACAAAATATCAATAATTTTGAAACTAAGAGGTCATATTTTTTCTCTTTCGACGTACTCTCTCACTCGGAAAAAGAATCAAGAAAAAAAATCTGGGGCCAGGGTAATACACGATAGTGTATAATCTAAGACGTGCGCATCTGTTTTGTGTAGTTAAGAATACAAACCTGTGTTTGTGCCCTGAGTTCGTGCTTGTTTACGAGCAAAAACCTTTAAAGAAGAAAGCAGAGCATTTTCAAAGGCTTCTGTAAAAATAAGGAACTCGGCAGACAGACGATCACTTCAGCCGACCAAACTATGTGATAAGAGAGTTAAGCTCGTCTGGATCCTGACAGGAGTTTTTTAGTTAAAGGTATATGACATCTGGATCTGCCTTCAAGCAGCCAATGCCTTTGTTTAGCACAACATGATTTTAGCCCATCTCATGGCATTTGGAGCGTTTATTTCTTGCACAAACAATTTTTCGTTTACACACTAACAAACCTGCCAATCCAGGGAAGGCTCCTTAATAAACACGTCCATGGTGTTGAGCAGCAATTGATGGTTATTTCTTAGGGCCCGCAGCGTGTGCACCATGACGCTCTGTAAGATTCCACTCTCCTTCAGCGGTAACATCAGGTTTAAAAACTGACGAGTAAGCCTGAAAGGCATCAGTTCTGGCACAGGCAGGAACTAAAATAAAGCAATTGGTTAATAATAATATTAATAATAATAATAATAATAATAATAATAATAATAATAATAATAATAATAATAATAATTCTCCAGCAATCATGAAACAGAAGGATAAAAGCAACGTTCTTCAACTCAATAACAACTCAAAGGCAAAAAAGAAAACCATGCCCTATGAAGTGCTTGACGAAAACGTAGACCTTTTCTGTTCATTAAAATCATTTTCTTAACTTGTAATCACTCGAACCAGCTACGTATGACTGTCTAGCGTTTGATTATAACTATTACCTGTGTAGCTGAGCCAAAAGCGTGACCAAAGTCAATGCCAATCATTCCTCCGGATTCCATGTCAACCATGAAGTTTGACAAATGGCGGTCTCCAATGCCCAGAATGTACTGACAAATAGACAAGCAAGCATGTGTGCTTGCAAAATGGGATCTCAGGATGAGAAACGCCTCAGGAGAGGCTGAGAGTTGCACAAAGGCGCGTCTGTAAAACAAACAAAATAAACGACATACATTATTAATGTGGTATTAATAAAGTCGTAACTTGATCAAGAAATCAGTCAAATTTAAGTATTATAACTGAAATTGTACAAATTAAAATGAAATGGATCTCGCCGTCATTGTTACTTGTTAGTGCCTCGAATAGATGTCTAGTTTTCAAAACATACACGACAGCACCTTTATCAACACAGTCCGCTTTGGTGGCCGCTCTAGAAGAAGAAAGTTATACTTTGTGTACTTGTACAGGTTGCTTACTTGAGAAGGTCCCAAGGTACCAATCCAAGCTTCTGCTTAAAGCTTCTCTCTGTTTCAGTTCGACTGGCTTTCCTTGAAAGGAACGATTAATTCAAGTTAACAAACTAGAAACTGTTAACACCCTTTTCGTAAGAGCTTATTGCAGAGAAAACAAAATAACCGGTTATCACTCTCACTTGTACATTTCCCCATAGAATCTGTTGAAGGGCATTGCACCCTTAAACTTAGCAATCCATTTCATGTGGGACTCATTTGGTCCATCCCTGCAAAAAAAATATACAAATAAAAACAGTCTAGGACAAGGTTATCCCTAATGCAATGTTTAACACCCGATACAAAAGATGAGTAACTGAACTAGTGAGCGTCATCTTACTTTCCATTATAATGGTCAAATTCAGCCTTGGTCATGGTGCCGCGCAGCACTTCTTTTAAAGGTTTGGTATTCTGAATCCACTCAATCATACCCACTCTGTAAGGTAATGATAATCGTTCATTGTTACGTCAAGTGTCCATGACTACTAATAAGGAGAATGATCATACCAGTTGATTTGTTACTGAAAACGCTAATATGCAATTCTTACATATGTGTACAATATGTATCCGAAATTTAAACTCTTTAAAAATCACATATATTTTTTCCTCTTCAGAACGCGCAAATTTCCCTCTAAACATGTCCACCTTATCGAGCGGCCAAATTGTACGAGAAAAAGTACGAGTCAAATACATCGCTTAATTCCACAAATCACAAAGCTATGACTAGCTATGTCCCCAACCGGCTCAACTGATTCGCTACAACGCGTGTCAATTAATGAAGGCACCCTTACATCATTTTATTAAAAATACCGCCAGTAACGTCAACGGATAAAAAATAAATGAATAAATCATTCACCTCGGAGTCATTGGTATGACTTGGTAAGTCTTCAGTCTCAGACATCTTTGACTGCACGCTGGGTCATTCGACATCACTTCATTCATCACTCCAAACAACTGTCGATCAGAGAAAACTATAAATCATACGGCATCAACAATGACGACGACAACGACAACAGCAAAGCAAAAGCAAAGCAAAAATATTGTTTACTCCGACCATCCAGAATCTATGATGATAAGCTGGATAACAAATAATCCGGGAAGTACCTATACACAATGCTGCCTACACTTCTCTTCCATGTTATGACGTTGAAGGTTACTAGGTTCTTTAATAGTTACATTTGAAATATTTTTTAGCAATCGTTCAAGAATTTTATTTTTTTATTTTTTAATTTTTATATTGTAAAGAAACATTTTAATCGTAAGAGAAATTGTATTTTTTTTTTTAATTTTAATCTTGGTATTTTTTACTGTTGTAAAGCGCCGTGAGCTTCTAGAAATGTTACGCTATATAAATATTCTATTTCACGTCACTGTATGAGAGGAGGAAGGTCCTGAGTAATGCTCTATTTGACCAAATTGTAAGGGACCAAAGCCACAAGCTCCATGATCTGCTGCCGCCACGCAACGGGTCCACTACTGATTTGTAAGACAAATAGGTTTAAAAACACTTTTATTATGGCGAACAGTTTTAATTATTAGTAGTAACCTTAAGTATTAGTATTTTGGTGTTGATACTTCTCCTTTTGTATTTTATTGTAGGTTATTTTTTACGGTTTTTATAGTAGTTATCATATATTTATAGATAATTTGTAGTTCCATTTTAAAGTAAGTCACATTTCAGCTGGCCCGGGGGCTGCAATGATTTTACTTCTTAATAAAGTTATCTGTTATTATTGTTATTATTAAGTTGGCCAAGAATGCGCGGTTAACTGGCAGAATGCAGATCAGCTTAATCTTTCAACGCATAGCAACATTGAAGAACACTAACTGAGCGGGCCACAAAGCAATACCTTTTAAATCGTTGTCAAGCACCCAAAGACTGACCGACTGCCCCGCATATCCCAGGCAACACTTACTTGCTCAATCCTCTGATCCAGCCTCAAGTCCTCGCCACCTTTTACTAAAAACATATGATCTTTTTCATCATCGCCTCTGATAATCAGGCGCTTAGGTCTACGAATTGAAGACAGGACCAGAACCTGCAGAAAGACAATACCAATGACGTCAATAGGCAATCAGAGAGACTGCTATAGTTTCATTTCTAACAAGAGAATGCTCGTAACAATTTGCACCTCATTCGTAAATGTACATCATCCTTTGATCAAGGTGTAAACCTTGAGCCTCTGAAAACTGATTAAGCATAATTTGTTATCTCGGAAGAATTTAGCCCCATGTCGGAAGAAGCCCTATAAAAGATAATGTTTAGATAACTTGAAGTGCTTTGAAGGTTTTTTATTGCTGGGCCTAGAAACTGCATTCAGGCCTCAAGAAAATAAGCTTTTTTAACAGTAAAATTATACTCTCATATGTCGCGACACCTTCTACACGTTTAAATGACGTCACGATGAATTAGCCATGGAGAGGCTACTCAAACAAGACGCTGTATCAGTTCCATACCCGTTCATCAAATCCTGCGATTTTTACATGATATTCAGGAAGAGGTTTTTCTTTTCCTGTATACTGACCTAACAGAGAAAGAATCAAAGGTTAAATCAAAGGTTTGTCGGAAAGGTCAGCGGTCAGCGAGCACGATGGCCGCGAAATTTAAAGCTCCGTGTTGAAGAGAAATTAAGTTAAAGTTTCTTTTCAAAATTTTCTTCCATTTTAATTTTTCATGTCTAAATCCTTTATGTAAACAATGTCTGCAACTAAGAGAGGAAAACAGAAGCAACAGGCAGAATTTTCAGAAGAAGAAGACTTCGAAACATTTGTGCGAGAGTCGCTTGGGCAACTGAGCAAAGGTCAGAAACAAATCATTCAGGAAATCTCAAACTTAAAAGCTAAAGTAACGCTGAACGAAACAGCGTTGGGTAAAATATATATCTAGCCAATTTAAGACCCTCAACGACAGCTTTGAAGAACTCATGGGCGAGCTTCATGACGCGAGGTGTAAAGTCGACGACATGGAAAGCTCCGTTCAAAAACATGCTAAGCAAATTGAGGGAATGCGTGAAAGACTGCTGTCCCTTGAGCGGTATTCTCGAGAATACAATATCCGTTTCCACAACGTTCCAGAATGTACTGACGAGGATTGTGTCCAAAACGTCCGTAACATTTTATCCAATCAGCTTGATATGGAGCCGGAGATTGAAAACGCGCATCGTGTTGGTCCTCGAAATAACGACAAACCGCGAGTAATTATTTGCAAGTTCCTTTATCGTCCACAGAGGTATAAAGTTATCCAGAAGAAGCGTGATCTTGAGGATGGTATTTGGGTTACAGAGGACCTAATTTGGGAAGATCGTGAAGCAAAGAAAAATTAAAGGAAGTAATGAAGGAGGCATTTGAAAATGGTAAAAAGCCTAGATTCGCCCGTGGAAAACTTTACATAGATGGAGTACTCTATCGCAAAACATAACTACATGGTCAGGTCAGAATATGTAGGCATTATTATCTCGTACTTACGTTAGTAATTTTCGCAAATTTTAAATCAATTTTGTGACTGTCAATGACAAGCGACACATATGACCCAGATTTAAATCTTTAGTCTTTCAATGACCATGGCATATTTACATTAGAAGAGCTTAATCAACTTTCCCATGTTGTCAAACCTTAACTCTCGGTGCTTCACTTAAATATAACAAGCCTAAGCAAGCATTTCGACGAGCTATGTCATCTTTTGAATTCATTTCCCTTCCAGCTAGATTTGTTTGCTTGTTGTGAAACTTGGATTACCTCCCAAGCTGACATATGCAGCTTGCAAATCTCAGGTTACAATATCATAACTGACAATCGCACGTTTTCTACAGGTGGAGGAGTTGCTTTATATTTAAAGTCAAGTTTTGAATATTATTTAAGAAATGATTTAAAAATAGCTGGTATTGAAAATATCTGGCTTGACACACAAGACTTGATTATTGGCGTTATTTATAACTCTCCCAGTGGGTCCCAACGCGATTTTATTGATGAATTTGAAAACGTTCTACATTCCGTCTTTTTGTCTAAGAGAAAGTGTCTGATCTTAGGTGACTTCAACATCAATACACTCGTCAAGAGCACAACAGCAAAAGAATACCTCAACTTGATCCTCTCAGAAGTTTTTAATCCTTTGATTCTCGAAGCAACTCGCGTTTAAAAGAGCACCTTTCAACTATTATCTTGCTCAGTATTAATCATCGCCACACCGACTCTCAAATGTTATATTTTTTTAGCGGAGCTCCGGCGCGCGAAGGGCACCAGCGGAGCACCATGGGTAATAAAATTTGGTATACCATCCATCCGAGAAAATTTGGTTATGACGTAGCGTACGCCCGTACACCCTTTGCGGGGAGGGAAGGGAATCAGGTATCCCCGTCCGGGGGAGGAGTATGCCGTGATGTTATAAATCGCGCGATGCATTTGTGCAACTATTATCCACGGTGCAACCCGCGTTTTCTTGGTGGGAAATCGCGCAAGAAATGGCGTAGCTGTCGTCGCGTTCAAAAACATGTTTACTTCAACTACTTCATTGCATAAGGATTTTGTGACCGTAGTGCTCAGTTTCTAGTAAACTGTTTCGAAAAAATTGTTATGGCAACAAACAATAGCGGTTTGAACTATTTGCTTGTAAGAAGAGCGAGGGGAAAGAGAAAGAAGAGAAAGGCATAGAGTAAGAATTAACAGGCTCGCTAGCAAAGAGGATTCAAGTGGAAAATTTATGCAGCATTTGTGACTTGTTCACCGATAACTGAAGCTGAGAGAGTTTTGAGTCATCTTGTGATGTTTTTACCTGTCTTTTTGCACTGGATCTACAAAATGAAATACAGCAGCTATCAACATTTTTTTGTTATTCTTGGCTGGCTTGTTTACTGGGTTGTGGTTGAGAAACGCGCCGCACGACAAAACGAAATCGGGAATCATCGTTTTCAAAAATAAGCTACTCTTAGTAAGCTTACTTCGCCTTGCTGGACTATGCGAAAAGTCTTAAGCGATTCTGGTCTTACTTGATGGGTTTCCGTGCTGCATCTCGACCGGTAAGCTTGAGTAATTCTATTGCATTTTATGTGTTTTCTTTTTTCATGTTTATGCCGTCATTTTACGCACATTTGTAAGATTTGAGACAATTTATCTGACCTAGTAAGAACATGTAAAAGTCTTTAGACATTTTCTGACCGCGACTAGAAGAAAAAGTTCTGAAAAATAGCTAGTTTAGTTATCCTGTTGTTTATAAAAAGAAAGTTTTGAGCGATATTGTTCCCTGGCGTTCATCTTGCAAAATAGCAAACACGGCGAAAGCGGCTTAAAACTTAAGGCTCAAATCTGCAAGGTTTTATTCGTGTCTCAGGATTTTCGGAGACACTTTACTCTCAAAACACGTCTTCGGGAATAAAAATTGTTGACCTTTAAATGTTTCTTTGTATTATATTGTATGCCAGTATACATGGTATATATATATTATATGCCAGTTGTTTTTTACTTTTCTCACCAAGGTCACGCGTTGGTCACGCTCTACGTCCAATTTATGCTCTGATTGGTCAAAACTTGACAGGTGAGTTCATGCGGAAAATTTATGCAACATCTTGAAACTTGTTTACTTTGACAGCTGAAGCTAACAGAGTTTTGTGTCAACTTGTGATGTTTTTAACTGTCTTTCTCCACTGAATGTACAAAATGAAATTCAGCTGCTATCAAGGGTCTTCTGTTATTCATGGCTAGTTTGTTTATTGGGTTTTTGGTTGAGAAATACGTCGCTTGTCAAAGTCGGAAATCCGATTTCGGATGGCATCACTTTCGTTTGTCACCTTGCTTGATGCGTAAGAGGGTTGAAAAGTCTGATGCGATTCTGGCCTTACTTGATAGTTTTCAGTGCATCTCGAATGGTAAGCCTGAGTAATTATTTTATTTGACGTTTGTTTTTTATATGTAATTTAATGAAGTCGAATGAAGTAGTTTATGCACGTTTGTAAGATTTGAGACAATGAACTGACCGAGTATCAGGTTTGATTATAAGCTTATAGAACTTTAAAAAGCCTTCAGACATTTTCTCACCGCGAATAGAAAGAAAACGTTCCAAAGAATATTTATTTATAATTCTGGCTGTAAAAGAAAGCTTTGAGCGACTTTCTTGCCTTGAGTTCATCTTTGGAAAAAACAAAGACCGGGAAGCCGGCTTAAAACATAAACAAGGATTTTCAGAGACACTTTAATACTTGTCTTCGTAAATGAAATTGATGTCTCTGTATATTTTTCACCGAATAATTTTCCTTTTATTTATTGATTGTTAGTAGTCTCTTTGCAATTTTAATCGCTGTGCCGTTTGTTTTCAGTCGCTCATGAACATCGCTTGCAGGAGTAGTCAAAATGCCAAGCGTATCAAACGCTTTTGAAGATTACACATCGTTATATAAAAACCATTAGATAAAAAATAAACATAATAAATTCTTTATTATGTTGAAGCGTACAACTCTATTAATCTTAATTTAAAATTGTGAAATACTGCATTCTGTCCGAGGTCTGTATGATAAAAGCAGCGCCTCATTGTACTGTTTCACCTCAGAAGTGATGTATAAAAAGTATAAAAGGTTGGTTTACACGTCCCCAGACTTGTTGGCAAGATTTTGTAAAGAAAACTTGTCGAACGCAAAAAATTCGGCCTGATTTGTTTTCCAAGAATTCGTTTCCCACGCCTAATGTACTGTGATCAAGAGCCATTATGGCTATGCTATTCTTTGGGTGTACAAATAAGGCTATCAACTCGATGTAAGATTAAGTTCACTCTTAGCCTGGACTGTTTGCAAATTATTTTTTCTCTAAAATCACTTAGCCTTTCCCTCAAAAGTCACATGAATGTGCTCTAAAGTTAACTGATTTGTGGAATACAAGTTTATTGTTTGATTTAAATTATAAATTCGAGTTAATAGGAGCTTCGCTTTTAGCCCTGGCTAAATCTATATATTATGTGTGTGTGTGTGTATGTGCTTTTCTTTTTTCCTCTCTTTTGTATATTTTTCATTTATTAAAAACTGAATCATTGGATAATCCAATTCTAGCATTTTGATTGGCTTAGCCGTTATGGTATATGAGCTATTATACCATGCTCTCCATATATGGTCTGTGTACGCGTCAGTTTAAAATTGGAAGCTAGCTGAGATTTTTTTTCGCGAAGAATAGAACGGCGCCCGAAGCCAATCGTTTTAATTCATTTCTTAGAATACTAGAAATGCAATTTCATCGAAAGAAAAAAGACAAAAACAAACAAAAAAGCCACAAGAGCTTGTTTGAAAGTTTGTCGAAAAACACGTGAAAACACATGGAACTAAAGTACCTTGACCAGCTACGAAAGAAGACAAGTGTTGTTTCTTCATGATCGCGAAGCCATTCGCCGATCGAGTCACTCGCCGATAGATAACTGCGGCTTGTCTCTCCGACATCAAGAATATACATCACAAGTAACCAGCTACAAATACAGGCTATGCAGCCATTCACTAGAGCAATCGAGGCGGCAGTATAGCTTCTTTTCTCGTTCAGCAAAACCAGCTTGTGGCTTCAAACAACTTCACAACAAGCGACCGAGGTAATAGTTTTTCTCCGTTGTTCTTACTTTTATAACTGCACTGAAAATCCAAATTCACAGTAATTTCGACGGCTGTCACTTAAAAATTCTTTTCCCTCACATTATCTGCCAGGTTTTTTTTAGTTGTTCTGCTGTGTAAAATCCTAGAATCCCGATCAGTTTTAAAAAAACTGATGTTCATTGCTACAATGTTTTGATTTTTCATTCATGCAGTCCAGGCGAGTCCGTTCGCGCGTTGCCAGTTTTGATAGACGTGTGACATGTGAATAGCGGCAGTCCCTTGTCTTTTCCGGTTTCTTCTAGTCGGGGAGATTCAAAGAGATTTTGTGGGCGTTTTTAATAAAACAATTATTCCACTCGCGCTTGTTGGATATGAGATGATTAAAGCCAACTCGGCGCTACGCGCCTCGTTGGCTATCTATCATCTCATATCCAACGCGCCCTCGTGGAATAATTGTTAAATAGATTTAGCCAGGGCTAAAAGCGAAGCTCTCAAACAATAAACAAGTAATCCACAAATCAGTTAACTTTAGGGCACATTCATGTGACTTTGAGGCAAAGGCTAAGTGGTGTTAGACAAAAATAATTTGACAGTCCAAGAGTGGAACAAATTTTACATCGAGTTAATAGTCTCATATGTACACCCAAATAGCAATCATGTTCGATCACTGTAGATTAGGCCTGAAAAACAAATTCTTCCCAAACAAAATAACCCAGTCGCCAACCACCTTAATTTTATAAGGTTAATTGATAGCTCTTTTATGAAACACACGATAGTCCTCGGTGGCAGCCAATTTACACTTTGCAAAGGGTGGCCAAAATAAAAAATCAGGAAGGATCAGGTTACTTTGCAAGTAAATCTTGGC